AATTACAACGATTTTTCTCTGTCTCTTTTTTACCTCTGTTCTTTTTAGCTCGATGCCGATCACTCATCACTGGGTTTAGGGAGTAATTCAGGCATGGCGCAAGAATAGCTACACTCATCACTGGGTTTAGGGAGTAATTCAGGCATGGCGCAGAGAATAGCTAGTTTTCCTTGTTGAACACAACACGATGTCCAGTCAGTTGTGTCATGGCAGCCTCTGCTTAAAACCGTCTTGCTGGCGGCCTTATCTTTAAAAATCTCAACAATGATAACTAGCTTTCTAATAAGGTTGTGAGGACCTCCGAATAAATGGACACTCTTCTGTAGTTTGAAGTGTTAAATAATGAAATTGATCTGGCAGTAATCCCCAAAATTTGGAAAAGAAGGAATTTATTGAGCTAATATTCAGTTTTCTTGAAACAAGGTCGTAAAACAAACGTTATAGGAGGTGGGATGCGCAACAACACTTGATTTGACGCCAAAGTATCGTGTCAAGTCAACTAGTTAGTACTCAATGTACAATGTACCTGTCGCGGGAAATCTGTCAACCGCGCAGCCACATTCCTTCCTTTTTTCTTCCTCCTTCCTTCTTTTCCTTCGTTCCTTGCCCACTCTGCCGCGCTTCGAATTACACCCATAGATCTGGAAGGAGTGCGTCAAAGTGTTGGCCTCGTTGGCACGAGGGCGGTGTTCGTCATAAACCTGTAATTTCGTTTTGTTGGGAACGAGTTTCACATGTTTTTGTTCTTTTTTCCGTAACATTGTGTGCTGTGATGATTTTGCTGACTCAGGCGTGATTTATCAAAGTGATTACTCATCGCTCAAATGTTACATCGTATGTATTCAGATAGAACCATTCCACTGGTTCGATATATAGACGATTCTCAGCATGGCATGGCGTTTTCAGGCCTCAAAGTTCAAGAATACGACCCCACATCTCCCGAAAAAAGAGGTTTGTTATCCCTTCGAATTCAAAAACACTCGGTTTGTGATTTCAAACAATATATTTTTTCCCGTTCATTCTTACATTGCGCCCGTCAGCGGAACTGATGAAAAAACAAGATAACGTTGTTCCTACTGGAACGCTGGTTTGCACCTTTAGTTGGAGGAAAGGCATAATCCTTTGGGGGGGGGGTCTTCTATAGAGCAATTGAAGTAATCTAGAGTTTTTGGCAAGCTTTTGACAGGAAGTTTCGATCTCAGCGGAGGTTTAGCTGGGAATCCGCACTTCGATTAGGTTACCTTGATCCGACTTGTCCTCTCAGGCTGCGTTCATACTTTGCGGCAGCGTCCACCAGCGTTCTCGCGGGTAGTTTTGCTTAAGTTCAAAAGTGCTCGCGAAAAAAGCTGCTGTACGCAGGTGGACGCTGGTGCACTCTGGCGTCCGCAGATCGTTCCCTGTACTTCCCTAGTCCCTCGAGACGTTGGCGCACCCTGGTGGTTGCTGCCGCAAAGTATGAAGGCAGCCTCAGACGTTGCCATTCGCGCAAGTCGACTTTGAGCCCTCCGCTCCGAGCCTGTGATCATCCCAGCAGTATTCCACTTGAATTAACAACTAGATGTTACTATGAGTCGATGGATCCGTGTGGTGAAGTCGTTCCTATGTTTTCATATGCGCGACGGTTTCCATAGCAAATTCCGACTCCTCTCAGCTTCAAACCTCGGCACTGTTCGATTTGTTGTGATCTTCTATTGTTGTCACGAGGTGGGATATTTATTCGGAATTTTTAGGTGGAATATTAACTCGGCCAACGTTTCGACCTTCTCGTCGTCTTGAAAGGCCTAAACATGGCTCAAAGCTTGAGAATTGCACACACCCCGCCAAACGCTTAGGCCCTCTTCCCTCAATGTCAGAAATGTTAGAGAGGCCTAGGCGTTTAGAGGGGTTATGTGCAATTCTCAAGCTTTGAGCCATGTTCAAGCTTTTGAAGACGACGAGAAGGAAACGTTGGCCGAATACAATTGCCCACCTAAAAACCTCGTGGCAACAACAGAAGATCACAACAAGCTTCCTATAGCGTTATCAACGTTATCTATTAATTCAGGATACAATATTCGATCTTCCCATCGGCAACCTCTCATGCACAAACAATGGAGTGCAAGCAAGTAGCAGCTATTTGGCATTTCATGTGGAAGGAGAAGGTTTGCCATCATACTTTACTCAATTCACTTCTTTTTTTTCGTCTGTTTTGATTTTATATCCTCATAGGAACCTCTCCATTTATAACCTTCGCTCTTTGATCAGATTTCAAGCAATAGAGTTTCTGACATCGAAAGATTTTAGGAGGGAAACTTGGCGCTTTGCCAATTAATGCTAAAGGAAGGAAACTACGAAAAGATATGTCCATTGTGTGTGCACATGCAGGTTAGTTCTATCTTCCCTACAAATGCGTCTTTTTTTGCTTTCATTGGTGTCTTTAAGTAGTCATATGGTCTAGGTTGCGGATGAAGGGGCGTGGTCGGGCGGCTGAGTTTGGCGCGATTGCCAACCCGCCCTTCACCCAGCTGCTGAAGCGTGCAAGTGACGATCCTCGCATATCGCTATATCATTCTTTTTCTACCAGTTGTTGTCGCATATCCACTTCAACAGCTGATAGAGAACGGGTTTGGGCGCCAGCACACTGATACTGCCTGACACGCCCCTTCATCCAGTGCGCAGTAAAAAATATCTATTTAGACCAGGTTGATGACTTCTGCTTCATGACCTTCAATGATGATTTATTGGTAACGTGCAGTCGGGATGACAATGTTTGTGTCGTTTGTTTTTTTTTTCGTTTTTGCTATTTTCTCGAATTTTTAAACATTGCTTTTTTCTCGGATTTTTTATATTAGGTTGCGTTCATAACTTGCATCAGCGTGAGTGTGGAAAGCATAGGTGTCGATCTAGCGTTCTAAGCGTACGTCATAGTTTTATCGTTTCGCGGGTAGTATTAAACTTTTGAGGGGCTGTCGCTGAAAACGGTGCCGCACGCTCGAAGCGCTGACGTAGAGTATGAACGCAGCCTCACGCCACTTACTATCGGCGCCACGACTTCATCCCTCACCTTCGCTATTAACTTGTATGTGGGTATAATAGAAAATTCTCATCATGAGCATGTTAATTTTGGCGTTGGGAATAAATGTCATTCAATAATTCGTGCTCAGGACGTGGTGTACGTTGGGAAAACCCAGTGAAGGAGGATGGGTCGTGTTCTTAGTGGGGATGTTTTTCGTCGTTGTCTTTTTCAGCTTTTCCTATTTCAAGTGAGCTATATGTAACCCTTTCTGCTCAACGGCAGTTTTGTGGGGAAAAGTTGAAGAACTTCCAGCAGTCCAAAGCTGGGAGGATTTGAGAAAATAGAGGTGGTACGGGGATGGGAAAGACCACGGATTGCTGCCAGCGTGTGCTTTCTCATACGTCCGCTTCTGTTATTCTTCACGTGCAGCGGGCGGACAAATTTTCTACAGTTGCTGTGCCGAAAAGGATGTTGTACTGTTAAGATAAAATTATGGCGACTTGTCTGGTGAAGATGCAAGGAATTCTCTTGAAAGCGAAGTACATGTAGGAAATGGTGTACTGCTGGATTCGCTCAAATCACATTCCACTGCCTCCAATATTATTGCTGCCACTTCTCTAGGCGACGCTTACGTTATCGATATTGAAAAGAATGTGGTTGCAACAAGTGAGTTTCCTACAATTACTTAGTTTATGGATGTACTTTATAAAGAAGTCACGTTACAACAACCAGTTAAGCTGCTTTCGTACTTTGTTACAACTTTCTGAGCGCACGGCAGCGTATTCAGCGATCAAAAAGGGCGCTGATTATCGACGGGGGGGGGGGGGGGCATTCTGCTTCTCATAGATTTGCCAACCCATCTAGGTACCCTTTTTTCGAGTTGACACGTTTTAGGATGGTGGCTAGACGATCTTGCTCCAGCCTTCACAAGCGTGCACAGGATAAGTTTTAACAGAGTGTGATTTGTAAATCGGAACCAGGGAAGCAATCATAATACAAAATCCCCCTCCCGTCGATAAACAGTGCTTTATAGATCCAGTGTTTTGAGCGTGCACAACTGCTCAAAATGCCCCGCTAAGCGCGTTTTCATGCGACGAAACGTAGGAAAACGCGAGGAGCAAAGTCTGTTGCTTCCCGTTGGAGAACGCCCGACAGATTTAAGATCAGCATCAAAAAAAGCATCTTGTGGTGGTTAGTAGGTTTCATCACAATGTCACCATGACCTGGGGGCCTTCTCTTGTTAGCCACTCTTGAATTTGCCCACCTGCACCGAGCAAACAAATAACTGAACGTTTAACATAATTAGCCACATTGTTTGAATGTGACTGATGTTGTGTAAATTTAATGCATGTTAAATGAAAACAGTAATCAATTGGAGTCTTGATGCGTGTTCTGCAGAACTCGGCGGTTTTGTGGATAAAGGTCAGTCAGTGGACTGGAGTGAGGACGGAAAGCTTCTAGCAATCAGTGCTGATAAGGGACGTGAGGTAAGCCTTGAAATCTCTCTTTGCTCTTTTTCGAACTTTGAATTCAATAGTAATGTACACATTATCTCAACCGTCACCAACTTCTTTTTTTATTTTTTCTGAAGATAAACTGTGCACAGGCGGTGATGGTGTAGTGACAAGTGTTTACCACTCGCGCGGTCTCCTGTTCGAATCCCGTCGACTCCCGCCCAGGCCAAGCCAGCCTTCTACTGCCGTCCGCGGAAAGGTAAAATTGGTACAATTCGTCTGGGAGGATAAAACACTGACTTGTACATCGGCTGGCCCCCGCAAGTCATTGTATAGGCCACATCGCATTCAATAAGCCACTACGATTCTGAATGGAAGTAGAATGCGTGCCGCATCCCACAAAGGGATTGATCAACGGCGAAGACTTTATCCTTTATCCTTTTGAACTGTGCGCTCACCTACAAGCATGGCCCTTGCAATGTGCCCCTTGCCATGAACGGGTTCGCAGTTGTAAGTGAGTCTAACACCGTAACACTTGAAAGCGCGCGGAAGTGAGGCTGGGGGTTAGTGCACCCCTACACCACTCTGGGCTACTCTGGCGCCTATCCCTCGGCTCCTGTGGCAATGCTTTGTCGTACGATGAAAAGACGCTTGCGTCATCGCCATCATCATCATCATCAGGAGTGGATAACAAGCATAAGTGAGAGCGTGCAAACAAGTAGTGAATTTCCTTCTTTTCTTAACTTACCATCTTGTCGTTAGTAATTTTGAGCCGTACATACAGCACCCGTTTTTGCACCGGGGATTACCTTTAATCGGGGCGATAATGTTTGGAAATCGTTTCAGTTGCTTTCTGGAATTGTTTGTTGAAACTCCCCAGGGCTATACTTTTAGACTCTTTCTTACGACTTTTTTTATTCAGCATAAGAGTAGTTTAATTTTGAAGTGATTTCAACATTTTTTGTTTTGGTTCAGGTTTACCTTTATGATGCACGAAGTGGTTCGTCTCCCATTCAACGATTGGCTGTTCATCAAGGCCTCGGCCGTGAATCACGGGTGTTATTTTGCGGTGATCGCTTGCTGTCCAGTGGATTCACCAATGTAATTTTTTTAAATTTGATGCTTAAAATAGGTGACTTCGTTGAGAAGTTGTATTTGCACGTCTTGTCCCTCTTTTTTGCATATGTACAGTCGCATGTGCTAAAGCTTATCCGTTGTGCGTAGATCTGTTTTTTCTCTTCAACGAAATTTCTCCAGTTCGTAGAATTTCTGACCGATAGTGTTTCAGAAACGAGTTCAAGAAGTCCACGTGGTAGAACTGGGTAAATGGGATAAGCCTCTACACACCCAGGAATACGTTTCCACTACAGGAGTCCTGATGCCATTCTATGATCCTGACACGAAATTAGTCTTTCTTATTGGTAAAGGAACCAATAAACTGTTTATCGCGGAGTTTCAATCTAAGGTACCGCATCTTTCTCCAGGTTAGTTACTTTTTGACCTTTTAATGTTTTCTCTATGGACTCTTTTTCTCATGTGTGCTACACGATCAGCACTTATTTACAGTATATGAAATGTCCCTCGCCGAGCAAAATCTTGGTGCATGTCTGGGTAGTAAACGGAAGGTGACGGTTATGGATGGTGAAGTGGATACATTATATCAGCTCACGAAACACAGCATATTACCAATTCCATGCATAGTACCTCGTAGGGTAAGTTTGCTCTGTTTGGAATTAATGGAGTTGGAACAAAGTACTAAAATCGGCGCAGTTCGGCGACGGAAGGGGGAGGGGGTTTGAGGGCAATCTGCACTTTTGCTACTTCCATCGACGTGTCGAGCCATCTAGAGAGCTATTTCATGAGCTTACAAGAGTTGACAGGTTTTACCATGGCAGCTCGACGAGTTTGCTCCAGCTTCACAAGTATTCACAGGTTTCACCAGAGTGGGACTTGTAACCGGAGCTAGTGAAGCAACGAAAGTGTAAAATGCCCCCTGCCGCCGAACTGCGCCACAAAACCAGATATGAATTGGTTTTGTTTGGAAAAATACTGATTACTGGATAATTTTTCCATTATTTATTCGTCGAACATTTCAGTCTTATCGCGATTTCCATGCGGATCTATTCCCGGATACTCGAGGTTCAAAAGCCGGATGTACATCTGCCGAGTGGCTGGCTGGTTCTAATGAGCTCGTGAGTTTCTCTACCCAATTCTCATCGACGATGTATGTAAACTATAATCAGTTGCCCCTGTGCTGATTCACGAGCAAACGGTTTTTTTTAGCCTAAAAAGGTGTCGCTTGCTCCAAATGGGACCAGCAGTCTCCAGTCTCCTGGTGCTGGATAAAACACCATCTACTCCTTCACCAGTAGCCCTATCACCTACTATTAAAGCAAGTGCTGCAGCACCAGCGGTGGAACCTGTTGCATTTATGCCACGCCCCCGTTCGCAGACGCACCCTTCAGGGACTGCTTGTTCTGTACCGCAGTCTAATTCGGTGCATGTGACTTCACATGTATCACCTTCCGAGGTACGTACAGCTGTTATCGTCGCAATCTGCCGGGACGGGCTGCTAGGAGGGGCGGAATCGGGCCCGGTGGCTTTTTATTACAAAATAGACTGCCCTCGAGCCGTGTCCGCTTTAGTGATCGAACAGTAAAAATAACCAATGGCGAAAACGCCGTTGATATTCAGATTTGAACCCTGACTCCATCCCGATTGATGCGACGATTTTAATTGTAGATTGGTTCACCTGGTACCATTAAATAATTGCCATTAGTCATGAAAATGTTCAGGCCAAGATGGAAGTGAAGGAGCTTGTTTATACAGTTGATGATAACTCGGAGAAAGAAAATGATCTGAAAAAGGTACGCTCGAAAGATTTTTCATAAATCAGTTACTTCAGGCGGAAATCGCGTATAACCCTGGTGTAACCCTTGCCCATGTAGTTGGTGGCGCAGTAACGTCTTCACTGCGTTTTTCGCCAGCGTTCAGACTTTGTCGCGCTCATTGTTGCGGCCTTGAAACGCGCGCTGCTGCCCTTGAACACGCCCTACATCTACTTGTATCCAGACCTCAGTCTTTCCCTTTATGTTCCTTCTTTCCGCATAAACATTTTTTTTTGCGACGTGTTTTCTCATTTCTACCTGATTCTTAGCTCCTCTTTTTCACTTTACATCGAATGTTGCGTACGCGACAAGTCTGAACACGCCGTCGGCACTGTTCGCTGTTTGGAGGGGACATTTAACATTTTCGCTAGCTCATTTCGTTGGTTCATGTTGTTAACAGGTCTCACATTGACCAGATCTTTAAGATCCTGATGAAACTGCGCTAAGTGTTCCACCTGAATGCATCCACATTGCTCACGTAGAGTTGCGGGGTCTTCACAATTGTGGTCTGTATAATCCTTTCCATTAGCCTGAATACCAATCTGGTGCTCCAACAAAGCTGAAGTGAGCCAGTTCTTCACAGGTTAAGCGTGGCGTGTAGGGAATATGACCCCACTCCCTCCCCTATTCGTCTACAGATGCGGCTCCCAAGAATTCCTTTCTTTTTTCCCTTTATTTTTTTCCTTCCCAAGAGTGAGGATATAAGGATAGCGGCAGACATCTTCGATGTCATCTATCCTTACTATGTTATAACTTGCTACGTATATTTTGTCTTTTAGTTGTTTTAGTTGTCTATACAGGTAATCGCCTACCCTACCCAGAAGGCGGGCCTTTGGAGGGCCCGGATCATGTTAAGTTGGTGGGGGCTTGAAGTGTAGCAATGTACGGAGTACGCTGCGAGCTATGCTAAATAAAAAAAAAAAAAACAAAACCCACGCGGTAGGCGGATGGCGATAATGCGCCGAAAGTGAGGCGAGTGGCAAAACACAAAACTTGTTTTACTGCATAGCAGCCTGAAGACCTTAGATAAAGTGGAGGATTAAGGGCGCCTAATAACTTCTGTAGGGCACTTTAGGTTCCCCTTTTGCAAACTGGGAGGGGCTTCAACGTTTCTGTATGGCGGCAGTGACGGCGCGGTGTCATCGTACTCGGCACTGGTCAAACCATCCGCGAGCTCCTTACCGTGTCTCTGGTTATTCTAGTTGCGGTAAATTTAGTTTTACACAGGAAGTTCTGTAAATACCCCCTCCTCGAAGGCTTTTACCGCTGAAGTGGAGGGAGACACGCTCGCAACGGGCTAGACCTGGTCTATATAGTATCAGAAGAAATATGGCGGAACCGCGGGTCCCTAAAGAGTCCGCCCGACTAAACCTTTCGCACAGGAAGCTTTCCTTTCTACAAGGGACGCCGTCCGCAATCGCAGAGCATTTCCCGGAGAATTTCGCGGAGGATTTTCATACAGTTTCATTTTTGCAGGAAAATCCTCATCACAAATCATCAGAGGATGTTGGATACCCCAAATTTGGAGCGATCGGCTTCAGCGAAATCTTCAGCAAATCAATCTCGTCACACCCACAATGAAACCGTTCCAGTTAACGACTGAACCTCCTATAAGGATCCGGCAACTCAACATACAAAAATGGTAAATTATACCGAAACTGTGTTTGAAGCGTGCTGACACACAGTGTGTTACAGAGCTTTCGGGCCGCTCAATCACAGCACGTGTTCGACCAAAATCCTGCGTTGTAGGTGTCGTAGCTTCGAAATTTCGTCATGTTGAAACCTTGATTGGACCTAGGGCAAATAATACGATATTCACGAACATACGAAATGTGAATACACAGCTTCCACTGGAAACGTAAGCGGCGCTTGTCCAGTGAAAGGTGGTTTTTCTTGAAGGGTAGCCTAGCAAGTGCTTTCTCGTTAAATTTCTTTTCTTAGTTTGTCGCTGTACCACTGAAAGGTCCTGCTGGTGTTGTGGGTATCTACGACGTAGAGAAGCCCGGAAAACTTCCAGATGGTGTCATGGATGGTATATTCAACAAAGCGCAGGTTTGTTCTAATGGTTACGTCTCAAGAAACTTCATTTTGCATTTCATAAAGTGTACTGGGTGTTCAATCAGAAGCCCTTTTACAACTTATGTAAGATATTGTGTGCTTTTGTGACTTGACGCATCAATTTTATATGTAAGGGAAGCTTGTGATGTAGGTGAATTAAATAAAAATCCAAATAGACGATGTATATCAGTTGAAAAGCCTCAAAGAGTCCCCCTGCTCAAGCCCTGGATGCACAGCCCAACCCCCTGGCCTCAAATTCTTAAATCTACCTCCTCACTTTAAACCTTAAAGTTTTTGAAACGAAATTGTGTAGGCTTATTCATGGCGTTGACTCCAGCTTTTTGATTAAAAAGACCATTTCCCGGTCTTGTGTTTCATGGTAAGAAATCATGGCATGTATTAGGTAACGGATCTCCACTGGAATCCTTTCGACGATGAGGAACTGGCGGTGGGAACAGATGTGGGCCTTATAAATTTCTGGCGTTTAACGAGAGACGATGGACCCAGAAATGAAATGGCTCCTGAGAAAGTGATGAATGTTGGAGGCGAGAAGGTAAGCCTCTTTATCTCACAAAACTGAATATGGTCGCATTATTTGCATGGTTACCCGTCATAGCACGTTATATTTTCGACACTTCAACATTGTAACCAATACAGTCTTGTTTGTTGCGGATACGGCGTTTTAGGGTTGGCGCGTTTTCCACCAATTGGAAGCTGGCAAGCGACCGCAATTGGTGAAAATTGGACTGGCACCACGTCAAGCCTAGCCTCCCTGACATACCCCAGCATCCGCACCGAAAAAGACTGTGTATAGTCCATGTCTAAGGGCAACAAGGGGCTTAGCTGCAAGGGTCCAGACGAAACAGCGGTGCAGACGTATGCAAAAACTGCATCGTATGTGAAGAACTAGTTCCCAGTAGGTATATAGATTTGAGCTATGGCTGATCTGAAACGCTGCCTTGACGGTGTGCTAGTACTCTTAATAACCACCTGTTCATATCGTAATGTAGTGTCGAGTCTGATAGATTTCAAGAAGAAAAGCGAGGAATTTTACTTTTTGAAGATCCTATGTTTCCAATGGCATCCGATGGCTTCTGACTTACTCGCCGTTGCTCTGTCAGACAGTTCGATAGAAATATGGGAGTCACAGACTTTTGACAAGGTAGAAGACGGTGAGCCAACTTATCATTATGTCTTTGTTTTTCCGATAAGAAAACTTACATCACATGCGATAACGGTCTACACAATGTGGAAGGTACTAAGGGGCCTGCAGCTGGGTATCGGCCACTTTCGTCGCTCAAAGGGCAAGGGGTTGTGGTACCAGGTGCCTCTTCACCATTTCTGTCCTGGCTTGTCCTTCGAGGCGCACTTCTTATGCTGCCTGGCCCCATTAACCTCACACATGGCAAGGACCAGGATCTACGCGATTGAGTGTAAAGTTTGCCTTCGGCCATCATTCCAGTTCAGGATAGTTTCGCATTCTGGCTAAGCGTGATGGCGTTGTATGAGTTCAGATGGACACTCGACTCTCTCGCTCGTAAGATCTCATGGTGAATGTGCATCAACCACAGCCTGCGGCAATGAGGTCTCTTGGACAGAATAAGGCGTGAGATATAGCTCTTTACGTTGGATATTAAGTTTTTTTCCTACCGTTCCACTATGTTTCTTTGAGTTGAATTAGCTCCACACAGCTTGGATGATCTGTGTGCTTGATCGTGCGCACTCAGGACGAGTCCTCTACGCCTGTGATGATCGGCTGAATTATTGTTGTGGGGATGACGAGAAGTTCTTCGCGTCAGGTGTGTCTTCTGTAGCTCTTCTTATTTGTTGTCCCTTTACGTTCGTATCGAAAGTTTCCAGATTGTCATTCGTCTCTCTTTTGTGTTCATACTTTGCGTCTGCGTTTGTTGGCATGCGCATCGTTTTCTGGAGCGTTTCGTTCGTTGGTAGGCAGCTCTTTTGAGCGTACAACCGAGTCAGCGTATATAAGGTTCGTTTAAGCAAAGGAAAAGTAAGACATCGATCTAGGCGTTATCGCTGACCGTACCCCGGAACTTTCAGCCCGTGAAATCCAAGTCGACCTGTCAGGCGCTGAACGCTAGATCGGTACCCATACATTGTCAGTCGCCCGAATCGCCTCAAAACGCTGAAACGCTGCCGCCCGTACACTCAAAACGCTGACGAAAATATGAACGTGACTTTACTAATGCCCTTTCCTTCTTTGAATGTCTGCCTTCTATTAGTTTCATCTTTTTTTCGGAAGCGTATCCCACGCAATTATTGAACGCCAGCTCGCGATTTAGTTTGACCAGTGAACTTGCTTTTTACGGTAACGTAGGATAATTCGGCCTCGGTTTTGATCCACCAGGGTTTTTTCACTTTCTCGACGTTTTCCGCGCTACCCGTGAGCTACTTGACGAATAATAAGTTAGATGTGCTTGCTGCCTTCCAAGCAATACTGAGCCCACGGCGCTAACTCTTTCCCTGCCTATCTATATTTTTCCACATTTTTGAATGAGATAACATTATATTTCCGTTGACTTTTCAGGTACACTTATTTGATGCTGCTTCCTTGAACGATATTTATACACAACAAATTGATAGTGGGACGCAGCCACTTGTTCCTCACTATGATTATGACTCATCTGTGCTGTTTCTTAGCTCAAAGGTAGAGCATTGCATTACTGTTGATATCTTCCTTCCTACCACTCTCTTTTTTAGGGTAGTCGCACGATCAATATGTTTGAGGTCAGCTGTGACTCTCCCTATCTTTTGCCCCTTACTCCTTATACAGCACCTCTTATTGGACAAGCAATGGCATTCCACAACAAGAAGAGGTTGGTTATACAGAGCTTCTGCTCTCAAGACCACATATTCTTATGGGCATTACTTCTGATGTAGTGTTCTTTTTCTGGGGTATGCGACAAGACAATCGTAATATGTTGCGCTGGTGGGCGTGGCGAGCGAACGACGCGGCTGGCAGACAAGTTCTTCTGCTCGTTTCTTCGAACAAGAGCGTCATATGAAGAATTCTAACACGGGCTCCTCATGGAGTCTTGTTTTTGCCTCAGTTCATATGAGTTTCGCTGCTCCAATCACCAACTAATGCACATCGACAAGTTGCCGCGCATAGCAGTACGATACACCGCACGCGACTACGCGACAACTTACGATTGTTTTGTTGGTCTTCCCTTTTTCTGAGCTAAACACTCAAGCAAATCTTGTTCAGGTGTGACGTAATGGCTGTAGAATTTCAACGTGCCTGGCGATTAACGGAAAGGACTCTGGAGCAGGTTATATTCAGAGTACCGAGGGTTAAGGTAAGACCAGATATCAGAGTTCAGGGTGTGATTCAGCGCAGAAGAGGAGTTAGTATAGCGATGAGGAAGCGAAGTTCTAAATGATGTCACATGCGCGGCATTTGCACCAGATCCTTACTGATTCAGTGTAGGCATCCTGTACTGCATCGAGTTAGGTAGCTAGGAAAAACTTTAACGTTTTGGGCAAATTGCCAGAAGTCGAACGTCCTGAACTACACACAGGTTCAAGAGACTTCAATAAGGCGCCATAAAATTGCTTACATAGTCTTGTTCGCTGCAAATGCTGGCCACGCCAGGGAGGCTGAACTTGGCGCTGCACCTGCCCGTTCGTTCTACTTTACTTGTTGGAATTATCAAGAGAACTATTGGTGGAAAACATAGCTTCGTCACGCCAAATTTAGCCCTCTGACACGCCCAGCATCGGCAGCGAGCAAGACTGTATATGGAAAAGAGAGCACCATTTTCTTCTGTGTCTTCTTACTTATCATTGTTGCTTTTTTCTTGTTGGCATGGAAGTGAATGATCTACTTTTTTCAAATGTATGCAGTTTAAGCCGTGAACTACTGTGCATTTTACTTCTCGGTTTAATTTCAGAAAGACGTTTTCCAATCGGATCTCTTTCCCGATGCTCTAGTTACTTGGCGACCTGTCATGACGGCAGAAGAATGGCTAGCCGGTAGTTCAAAGACGCCGCAGTTTGAAAGTCTGATGCCAGAAGGGGTTTCTGCTCTAGGTAAGTTTGCATATGTTGTCATGTAGTGG